TAAACCGGTGCCCCGTGGCGATTTCGTGAACATCGTGGTGACTGCTGAATTGACAGGCGTCGCAGGCTGCAATGCGCTGCCTTGCAACAACAGGTAAGCAGTCGTCTCAATTATTCGTAGTTGTACTCTGCCCTGTTGGTCGCTATCCCATATGTAATAGACAGAAATACCTGTACAGTACATATCAGACAGCGTCATAATATAGAGCTATGCTGGCGGGATTCGAGAAGACTTTCGCAGAGGCCTCCCATGTAGATAGGCACAAAAGTGCTGAATTCTTTGGCACCAGTTATAGCATCCTGAAAAGTTATGTAACTTCCTCCGAGTCATCCGCTCACTAAGCTAATATGCTGAAATGGCAAAATTAAATTATGTTTCGCGTTGGCCATTTGTGATTAGGAGAGTAACACTGGCGTAATTGTAATGACCCCAAATGCTTAGGTTGAAACATGCATTCGCCTGCTTTTGTGGAACTGAACTGCGATTAGTTCTTATCGAAAAAAACATTACTTCAAGCGCGTTAAGAGGTATTGCCCAAACATTTTTGGTCTCCGTAACACACGTACAAGGCGGTGAGGCCGTATTTGTGAATTTCAGTTTGGTAAATTCATATTTGTTTCTACCGCGTGCTTCTTCACCGCGCAGGTACACGGCGGTGAAACCAAACGTGTGAATGGCAATGTTTTTGTGTGCTTCTCCGCAGTACACTTGTATAGCGGTGAAGCTTAACTTGTGAATGTCAATTTGATCAATTTGTGTTTTTCTGCATGCTTCTCCGCAGTGCAAGTGCATGACAGTGAAGCTGAACCTAGTTATGCAATGTTCGTTTTATTTGCAGGCATAGAGATGAGCATTCCAAGTTCAAATCAGCATGTATTTTCCTTTACGTTTATCCAATTACTTAATTTGTTTAATTATGTGGACGTATTTTTCATGAACTTGCCACCGAAATCCTAAGCTCTCATATTATGAAAAAACATGTCATCATTTGGTGCCTTCTACACACTGCTGCACCAGGGAATGAACATGTCAGCTGTTTCTCATGCTAATACATACTGGGTGACAGAAGGGCCATGGGATGAGTTTGTAAGCAACTATTCAGTCGAGCTGACATCCCCAAAGCCCACAGACGGGTCATGCATTGTGGCACCACTGTAGAATAACACATACCCAAATTTACCGACATACTCAATGCTACATTCTGCAGTATACTGAGACAAGCGCCCCTAGAGCTTAGCGGTGCGAGCACTGACAGATGTGTACGAGTATACTTCATGTCCCTGTGAGGTGGATGCAATACGGGGTATGCATTTCACCTAGATCCGCGAGGTGGCGAAAGTATCCCCGGGCAGCGACGCCATTTTGGCCGTCCGGCCATCTGGCCATTTTTGAGCGCAGTACTGGGCTAGGCTATGTTCTGTGTGCGCTCTTTCTTCACTAAGTACACGCGTCATAAGAGTAGTGTCAAAGGTATCTACTGTTCAAGCATTCCTCTTTAGTTTACATAGAGCAGTGTCTTGTGCGCGGTGCGTATTTATTACGTGGAAAATCTTCGAACAAGTTTATTTGCATTTGGGGAGAAGTGGTACTCGCCGTGGTTGCACGCAAGTCAGCAGCGACAGTGGTAAACTTTGCCGTATTTGGTTGTAACAGCCACGCGAAAAAGAAGCCAGGGGTTAAGAATGTTGCCTCAGTAGGATTTTTTTTTAATATCAAAGGTGCTTAATGATGCCAGAAGACTGCAGAGGTAACAGCACGACGAAGGATGTAGTGGGTTCACCGCATGAACCATCGAGACATCCTGCCTTCCCCTGATCATGTTTACCAGATTCACCGGGCTAGCACGACAAAGGAACGCGATTAGAAATGAACGGAAAGTCAGCTTACCTTTCCGACAACATCGATCATGCTGTACGGCAGAACTTTCACGCCTGCACTAAAAACCTGCGATCACTCGGCTACACAAGCTCTGAAAAATGCTTCAGCTATATAAATGTTCTCTAGTCTTGCTACAGCCCAACATATGCAAGCTTGTTTGGACAACTCCCTTCGCTAACATCTGTAGCATCCCCTCCTGGTCCTTTAACGCCGAAGCCTGCATGAGACAGTAGCAAGCTTTTACTTCTCAAGTTTTGTATACTTTCAGCTTGAATCTGATTCTTCAGTTTAATCTACTCGGTAAACCGTTTCAAGTAAACTGCTGTACTAAATTAACAATATAGCGTCCTAGCCAATTTAGCAAAACTGCTACTAAAAAGCAAATAGAACGCTGTGTGGCGAGAATCCAGATAGGGCACCTCGGTACTCATTCCTGCTAATTATATGGCAGTGCACATTTCTGACAGGTCATTTCATAAATTAGTTCATGCTTTAAAACAGTGAACAGAACTTATTAATTAGTCAAGGTTACTCCACAAACAAGCAGAGACGCATTCACGTGAGCAGTGGCCCTTAGTGCCAAAATATATGAAGCTATTTGTGTTCTAAAACACATTTATTTACATGGTCGAATTAATTAAATAAAGATTTAAAGTCATTCTTTCTTAGTTTATTTATAACAATAGTTAAATTTGTCCCAAAAAACATAGCTAACGGCAAATATTGCCAGACTGAGCTGTTCCACTTATACAGCAGTAGCAGCAGGAAGACTGCATTTACAACCATAAAATCATACAAGGAACTCGATTACTGCACTTGTTTTACACAGATGAAAGTACTGAGTAATTTGGATGATCATTCTAGGCCGATTCATGCAAATGTAGACAAACGCGAGGAGGCTCCCAGTTTGAATTAACCGTTAATTGTTTATATCAACGTGTTCAAACTATTTGTAATTTTTCCCCATTGAAATACATAAATATGTGCCAAGATTAGGGTGTCAGTTTTTAATAAAGTGGTCCTGCAAGACGTTTTGAGCATTATCAGAGAACATTGCGGATTGGTAGTAAAGGCTCCTGAGAACCTATGAGCCAAATATTACAGCACAGCACACGGCCTGCATTTCACAATAAATTGCCCAAATAAGCTAAAAAGTGTTTTCTTTTCTCTCGTCAAATGATGAAGGAAGCTCAAAAATTGCTCGTAGAAGGACATCTGTCAGCCTTTGGCCGATTAGAACATGGCGCATTCAGTCGTAACAGTTCTCAACGTCGGAGCCTGTGAATTTTCCATGCGTGCAAGCAAGATCACACTAAAAAAGTTGTGTATTCGAATAAAAAAAAGAAAAAGTGCTCAAGGTCACATGGGACACGTGGCGCATTTTCTTTGCCCCTGCCGTCTCTCCCTGCTTAGCGTCCAGGGCTTTCGTCGAGACAAGAGAAGAAAGTAAGGGATTGCAGCATGCGACAAATCTTTGCAACTCTGCTCGTACTTGATGAATTCTTAAACCTTTTTGCGGCGTTCAATTCGTGACGCAATAAGCTATTTTAGTGAATCCATTCCATGGTTAGTTGAAAAAGTGTTTCAGGGTCCCTTTAACATTTTAACGAATGAGCTTATGTGCCTGCCCATACTTCTGTGACATAGAGAGCATGCTGGGAGAACTGAAATGATGTGGGTGATGCAGCATCCCGCACAGTCCTCCGCCAAATATTGTTTACAGGTGCCGGATGGGCACCTGTTTTACAATGTCCCTCATAAAATAAAGCTATTTGATTGCTTGTGTATTTCTTGCAATGTTTAAAATACCACTGGCGTAAGCATTCAGCACCAACTAGAAAGCAGCCCAAGAACGCAGCAAGAGAGGTGAATGACAATAGCCTCCGTCGTGGACCCTGAAAATTCATCTGTTATTGATGTCTGCTATACTCGCAGAGCAGGTGAACTAATATTGGGCCTGATCAAGCATTAAATTCATTGTACTTGTAATGGGTTCAAGAGGTGTCATGACCCGATAGAGACACTTGTGTTTACTTTGAAACCATAAGTTAGTACGAGCCAACAATTACCGGCGTGTTGTGTGTAGCCCAATTAATGTGGCTGATGCAGACCACGGAGCCAGCTCCCGACCCACCAAATAACAAAGCTGACCGGTTCCGCGAAGGCGAACGTGGAAGACCCGAGCACGGGAAAAAAGGAGACTCCTTCGTTCACACGGTTCACGAGCGGAGCCGTCGAGGTCGCCCCCGTTTGGGACTAGAAGGGGAAGGCTTACTCGGAAGAGTGCCTGGTAAGAAGCAGGCCAGGCGCTGCTGTCTGAGTTTAAGCCATTGTTGGCATGCACGCGTGACATTGAGAAGGACGTGGGAACGCGACCACTGGGCTGACCGAGACATAGTGGCGGCATAGGCACGCGGACGAGCTTATTCTCCACCGCTATACGTCATCATCGACTGTTGTTTGGACGGCGGGGCGCCTCGCTGTCGCGTGCACACCTGGTCAGCGCACAAGGCCTCACGGTGTACTCTCCTCGCCTAAAGAGACTCCTATGAAGCGACGTGTAATGAGAAAGTTGATGGAGCCCGAGCGTGAGAACGGCTACTGGCAGAGATCGGCCGATACACGGCCTGGCATGGGAGAGAGTGTGAAACGCGGAGAACCTATTCCCTCTCGTGTTGTACTTCATAACGTGATATTTACCAATGTGGTGCCTGTTGTGAAAGTGCTTTTGTGATTGGTTGTGACGATGTGAGTCCCAATGTGCGATTGGTTTTTGTGAAGACTGTTTGTTCAACCGAGGGTTAAAAAGGGGATGTTTGACTCTTAAATGGAGAACGGAGGTTCTGACTTAGACTCGGGCAGACGCCTGAGGCTTCAATAAAGCGTCTCTTCACCGGACTACAGCTCTTCCTTCGCGCTGCCACCATGCACTCGAGTCATCGAGGAGACCCATTCCGAACCGCAAACATGTTACGTCCTTAGCTAGTGTAGAAGCCAGTCGAGGAGAAGGAAATTACCTCCATATTTAAATGTGTTTGACATTACAATAACCAGTAATAAATGTTTGTACAAGAAGTTCCACATACAGTCTGAATATCTTTAAAAAGAAACACCACAGCAAATTTTCACAATGTAATTTTATTGGCATTTCAGGAACAACATGACCAGATGACTAAAGTACGTGCCACTTCTGGATGGATATTGAATGTTCAAGAATGGTTTGCGAAATGTAAAAGCCAGATATTGGCATCCTCCCTGAACCATCAGCTGTCCAACATCTGCAAGGTGCAAAGGTGAACACACTGTCATGTAAACAGGGCCATGTGCATGCACTGATACAAGTTTGTTCGGCTGTTGTAGAAAGGACCAAAAACATTTTGGTTCACATGCACCAACAACAGAAATGAAGGCCAAAGATCAGCTCCACTAGTTTAAGCAAGTTCCTAAGAGGCTACATATAAGCATTCAGTCTGTTTTACTCGATCATAATTTCTCAATCTTTTGCTCTATTTTTGTGAGCATTTACCTGACATGTAATCATAAGTAAACAGATTGAACAGCACTATCAAAAAAGAAAGAACCAGGCTAGTAACTAGTGAAGGCAGGGCTCTATTTCGTCCACGGTTCTCTACTCAAAAAACGAAAAATGGCCTAGTTGGTACCTTGCCTGTGTACTTCTATTAGTAGCCCCAAAAAACTCTACAATAACCTTTAAAAATGCCACCCTTCACTGTGATAGTCTGCTGCGTGTTCCACAGAGGCCTCGCAAATTTTCTTACAGCTGACCGGAACTCTTCAGCGGAAAGTTCTGCAAAGTGGATATATACTAATCAGCTCTCACCATAGCTTCGCATAGAGTAATGGTGGGAAAGGGAAGCAAGGGTGAGGACGATCTTAGGGGGAGTTGAGAGCATAAAGCATAGCATAGTCTGTCGTAGCATAGGGGCGAGAAGTTATGAAGTTGCCCCCCTAATGGATGCATCTCGCTTGCTTACTAGGTGGGACACTGCCCACACACTCTTCATATCAGTGCTTTGTAAAAATATCACGCGGAAACCCTTATGGTCATTTCGGTGAATACTTTCTAAGGCGTTTTTACTGTCAAAATATTATTCGTGGATACAAAAAAGGAAAGTTGTTTAAAGGCATTATCAGTTTACAGAAATTGTACAGAGAGTGCACATTGCGCATTGCTGCTAGAAAATACTATCCCCAAACAAGCTTCTTTCAGAAAATGCCGGCAATCCCTCAAAAGTACACTCTTAACTGGTTCGCCTCAGTCAAGGAATGACCTCGCGCGGCATAAATAAGCATCTATAACTGTCTACACGCACAACTGATTTTGCATAGATATTATCGAAGCTTTTTGAAAATACATTTTTGGTTACAGTGTGAAAACGGTGAAGACGAAAGACAGAATGGACACAAACGAGCGCTGTAGGTGTCCCTTCTTGTAGGTGTCCCCCAGCACTCGTTTGTACCATTTGTTTTTCGTCTTTGTCGTTTTTGCGCTGTAATTACAAATGCATTCGTTACAACTAACCAAACGTTCATTACTATTGCAATATGTTTTAACGCAATTTTCTTGCAAAATCAAAAAAAATTGCACCTTCTTGCACCCGCTTTCGGCAAGATTCTCTTTTGGGTGGGAATACATACGGCTCCATTGAAAGCAAATAAGGTTGAGATGGGGGCAAGCAACTTGAATTTGGGAATGAATATCAATCTCTTTTGCGGAAGATATGGAAATATGCAACATATGGGCCAGCTTATGCTAAAAAGGCGTCAATAGTCAGCCAGCAGGCTCTGCCAAGCGTCTCAATGAGTGCTTTCTGCTACACATAGAACATCGTAGCTCCGTGTGGATGCAAAAATTGTCCTCATGGAAGCATTGACTACAATCACGTGTTGTAGCCACAAGTTGACAAAAAACTTCGAACTCACTCAGACTCGCGGCTTGACCTGAGCCTGAGTGAGCCAACTCGTGAGCCTGTTAGTGTAAAACAAGCTTTTTGATTATGGTGTCAATGCTTTGTACCGCCAATATCTCTTATAATCGAGGCTTTGCGATGTGCTTTTTTGTCACGCCCGTTTACATACGAGTTAACAGTGATTTAAATATGCGACTGACGAGATATATTTTTATCAAGAGCTCCTAGCTAAACAGTTTGTGGTGAGAGGTCATGGCACCTTTTCTCTAACTCATGTCTCTGATCAATAAATATTGAGGTGATGCTTGAATGCTAGTGCATAATGTGTGTGAATATGCTTGGAGTTCTAAACAGACATAATGTTGAAGTTCATTTGGTAGAACCACAGGCCAGTGATGAAAGGTGGAGTTCACTCGTGGCATCATCAGCTGGCCGAACCGGAGGCGTTTTCTGAGCACTCGTGCGTTGCCGTACGTTTATCTGGGCACTACGCATGTGGTGCCACATGTTCGGCTGGGCCGGCCATGACACTAGTGCACGCAACTGTGGAGGTCGACGGTAGAGGGTGGTGCATCAGCCCGTGTTGCTGGCAGACGACGTGGTGTCATACCATTTCAGGCGTAATTTACAGTTGACGCTACCACACAGAACACAGCTGGATGAGATGGAAAAAACATGCGTGGGCTTCCATCGTCCAGCCTTACTCGCACAAGTTACTTTTGCTGCCGGGATTTCAAGGCGATGAGCAAATTACTGTAACCCTCTACGAGTTGGTACAGAACTGATGCAGCACAACTGCGTGGAGAACCGATGCGCACCCACTGGAAATGTAGCGTCTCCCAAGTGTCTCTCATTGTATGGTTTTCCGTTGTTTGATCTTTTATTCTTAGTACAAACAGTATGCTGGAAATTGTCGTCTGCTGAATGGCGTCTCTCGCAGACGGTGCTGCTGCCGTGGCATAGAGTCTTGTGGCTCACACGTTCGTCTGACCTGTTGCGGGACGTGAAACTTGGGTGGTGTTTAACGCAACTTCCCTTCCTTTGGCACGGTGCCAGTGCACCTCATCCCTCAAAAGACTCACTTGGACTTATACTCGCCTAAATATTACTCAGTCAGTCTGTCTGGACAAGTTGACTCTTGAGTCAGTTTGTCAACTTACGGTTGTAGCCAGTGTATAGTTTAACAATCCAACCTTCACTAATACCCCAGCCACACAGCCTTCCTCCGAAAAAGAGATTCAGCCTCAGAAACAACACTGAGAGCGATCTCTTTTTTTAAACAGGGTTCGTCGCTCTCTTTTACGACTATAAAAGAGTAGCTGCAAAACCTGTGGGTACAACTAGTTGGGAACTCAACCTATGGATAAATTTGTAATATTTATTCTATTACCTAGGCTTATAAAAAATTTCATATTTCGTAGAAGACGTAAAGAACCCTTTAAAGGCTTTCCTCGTGAACTCTCTAAACAGGTGGAATGCATCGGGTATATTACATGAAGATGCAGAGCACACCACATGCACGGTCTCGAGAAACGGGGCACTGCGCTGGTAACCAAAAAGACCTGGATCCAAAGAGTCCAACAGAGGTAACCAAAGAGGCCAACAGCTACAATTGTATAGGGAACAGACGTTATAGGCCAAGATACGTAATTTTGTCTTGCCTGGTTCTCTTTGTCAAAGCTATTCTCATGCTTTCGGTAGCATGTTTGGGAAAAAAAACGCTAAATAGGGGTTCTTGGTGCCATGTGCCTATCAAACAATGCCTCCTCATTAAAAAAGTATTTCTTCAAACTCTGCAAAAGATTGCTTATGTAAGAGAGTTTTGTGCGCTCACGTAACATCTTTTTTACACCGATGGTGGCACCATCTTTTCCAGTGGTAGGTTTCATGCTCACTATTGCAGTTAAAAAGTATATACACTGTGATCACACTGGTATTGAGGGGTAATATTGCAATTCGGCTGTTATACACTTAGCGACGACTTATCTTGATGTTGGAGCATAGGCTATGAAGGCGGGGCTTCTGTGCATTTGTGTTTTTATTTATTTATTTATTTATTTATTTACCGAATTTCTACAACGCCCTAGCGGCATTACTGCAGGGGATATACATACGAAGTCCAATATGGTTGCTAATATTTCTGCAATATTACACCTTAACAATCTTGAAAATGATAACAACATATAATAATTACAGCATGCAATAAAAAATATGGCACGTGGCAAACATGTTCAAAAAGTCAATATGCTCTGCAAATTATTATATAGGTGTGATTTAACACCCCGAAACCACCATATGATTATCAGATACGCTGTAGTGGGGGGCTCCAGAAATTTCGACCACCTGGGAATCTTTACGTGCACCCAAACCTGAGCACACGGGCTTACAGCATTGGCTCCCATTGAAAATGCTGTAGCCGCTGCTGGGATTCGATCCTAGATCTGCGGGTCAGCAGCCGAGTGCCTTAGCCAATAGACCACCATGGCGGGACATGTTGTTGTACAAGTTAGGCAGTTTTTGGAGGAGGGACAATTCTAGACACCTAAAACACCACAAGCGAAACAAACAAGAACAGGGTTTGCTTCTTCATTCTTGTGGTGTTTTAGGCATCTAGAATTTTCCCTTATATGATGTGCCAACTAAACTACCAACAAGTACTTCCCAGTTTTCGGATGATTTTGGTTTTTGTTAGCTCACATAGTTAAAGCTTATGGCAGCGCACACAAGGTTACAGAATGAACATGCACACAATGGCACGACACACAACGTGTCTGCTAACCTGGAAAATTCAAAAAATTTGGACTCTTCTGGAAAAGTTAGGGAATTTCTGAAAAACCTGCCCAGGTCTTGGAAATTGACAGCAGTTCTGTGCGACCGTCACAAAAATAAGCATTACTATTGATGAAACCTTAAAAAGTCTCTCTCTCTCAGCTGCAACTACAGTGAGCTGCTAGAAGGTGTGAAAAAAAAAGCCCCCCGCATCTTCCCACGGGGGAACTTGGGTAAATGCGTCGCTGAGTGGGGGGGGGGGGGGGGGTATCTCATGAATGTTGCGTAATTTTGTATGGTTTGGGACTCACTGAGTAGCGTTTATCTGGGGTAGGTGTGCGGGTCGAGGCAGGTAACGGTAACCGTAGGTCACTCTCATTGACGGTACGTGCCCACGTACCAAAAAGTCCTTACACAATGCGCACACCAAGTACGACTTGAACAGCTCCAGCAGTCTCTCGTCGTCATCTTTGTCGCTGTTAACGTTGTCTTTGACGACGCCGCCCTTCAAGTCGACGTTGCCAAACGTGGTCCAAAGAACCCAAAGCTCATTGATCTGCTTCGCTTTGTTCGTGATGCTCCCGACCAGCGTAAGGTGATTGTCGAAGTGCAGTCGGTCGCACACCTTACAGCTGTGCCCGAAGCTAAGCTCTTTGAAGTCGCGTTTGGAACGAGCGGCCGGCTGCGCAGTTTGCTAGGCTCGCCCCGTCCCTTTCGCAGCACGGTCGCGATCACGAGCAGCTTCCGGAGCCGCCTCTCGTTCACGACGTTTGCACGCCGCTTCTCGCTCACGTAATCTGGTCTTAAAGCTCGCTGCTCACGTTTCCCCGCTGCTTCTCGCGCAAAATGTTCGGAATCCGTAGCTTGGCGTTGCCGTTTCGCAGCTGCTTCTTGTTCCCCGAATGAAGGATCTGCAGCTCGCTTCAAACACTTGCGTTCAGCGTCGTATGCTCGTCTCTTCGCAGCCTTGTCTTCTGCGTTGCTTGCTATTGTTGACGCTGAAGACAGTGAGGGTGGGTAACGTTGCCTTGAACGAGTGGTGGGACGATGATGTTGGGTTGCGCCCTAACAACAGTACTGGTGGAAGGTACTGTTGCCATCTGTTGCTTCCATCGCATCTACTCGAGTCAAGCAAAGCGTGAAGTCTAGCGAAAGAGGGAGATGAAAGGGGAGAGGGCGAGGTGGAGGGGAGACGAGCCGAGCATGTGCAGAGGGGGTATGAACGCCGACGATGAGTGACATGGTGCGACTAAGAAATGTTCCGCATTAAAAAAAGACAGTGCATAACTCTTGCTTCTGAGTGTAAACGCGAAAGGATACATTGACCTATAGAACACAAAATTTACTGGCGTTTCAGTATCCGATATGGGAGGAAACCTCGTTCACAATAAAAGCCATAAGAAATGCACAGCGTACTTAAATACGCCTACATACGTGACGTAAGCAGCGAGAGTACATTGTTATCATTCCTGACCAGCGTATGTACAGTCGTCTGTATCTGCATTCGAATTGCAGGCATGATTTAAGCTTCTTTTAAATGCGGAGCATATTACAGCCGAACCTACTCGTAAATCTGACGGAGGCGGCATAACTGGTTATGGTTTGGGAATGCTTAATTGTTCATCATCATCACCATCCTGACTACTGCTGGGCTAAGGTCTCTCCCATTATCCGCCAATCAACCCGGTCTTGGGCTTTCTGCTGCCACGTAATACCTGCGAAGTTTTTACTAACTTTCTGTTTCCCCTTCGTGCGTTTGTCTTCTCTGGGAATCTAGTCAGTCACCCTTAATGACCAGTGGTTATCCTGCTTACGTGTTACATGCCCGGCCCATTTCCATTTGTCCTTCTTATTTCGTCTTCATTATTATTCTTTATTGAATAAAGGAGAATCGTTGCTATCAACGTCAAGCGAAAGCCAAGATGCACTTGACTGAAATCAAAACGCGTGATCCAGAGGGCGAGCAGTCGTTTTTTTACTAGCAGACGCTGCCTGCATCAGCCTTGCGAGGCGAGACAGGGTGAGGGGAGCGGCAGTTTTGCGGGTGTCTTCTTAGGCCGGCACGTGACGTGAGCCGCAGCCGAAGAGAGACATCGTGTGACTAAGAAATGCTCCACAATCAAAACGCGCTTTAGCTGCTTCTGTCAGGAAAACAACAGGCTGGGTAGGGGGGTTAAATTATTCCTATATGCGTTTAAAAAAACCTATGTAGGGTCAAATTGACAGGATGTAGGATTAGACTTGTTGGTGGTGATACATTATGAAAATGTGGGGCGTACAAAAAGGCAATAAGAAAGATGACTAGACGATATACTGTCCTGCACATCGTCCTGCTGTCTTTTTTAGTCCACGTCTTTGTCATGCGCCACACGTTTTTCACAATGCAAGGTTTAAACATTTTCTTTTCGTTTGTTTTCGAGTGAAAAATTGCTTTTTAACTGGTTTTTCAATACTTCTAGAAATGAATCTGTCCCGAATTGCTTTATTTCTATCGTGTTGAATTTGAAATATACTGTCTTGGGGAGTGAGAGTGATTCCTTTTTACTTGTAAGGTGGCACCGCCCTTTTGGGTATTTATTGCTTTGTCTTTTTTTTCAGGCTTTCTATGTAAAGCATTTAAAATGTTTATGCTATGCAAGGTCTTCAAGAGTTGTGGCCAAAGGACGACCTGAGGAAACTGTGCACTCAATCAGCGCTGTGATCTTCAGAGCTAAGTTCACCTTTGCTGAAGATCCAAGTGTGAGAAACTGATGCAGCAGACAGCTCCAAGACATGGTCTGTGCAAGTCGCATTAAGAGGAGCTGGAAACAACAAAAAAAATGTGTATCCCCAGTGTTTATTTGCTTTAATTACAACCATTTAAAACTTGGTGAATCGGTGGCACTGCAGAAAGGCGCTAAACGATTGTCAAACTGTGGAAATACAAAACGAAGCTTATGATCTTACCATACGCATGATCGCTGCTTCTTTCCTTTGCCCGCCAAAAGCCCGTGGTACAGCTAAGCGTACTTAGGAACTGACAACTGAGAGTGCAGCAGATGTTCAACATAAAAATTTTCTTGCTTACAATAAGTCACTCTAATTGAACTTTGCTCAATAAATTTTCTTTGCATGCCCCTCCAAACAAGTGCAAGCACGAAATTTTAGTTTGACTGCATCACCGAACTGCCTCAACATTATTAGTTTATTTAAATGATACTCTCAATGCCAAACAATGTACAGAGAAGAGTGGTTAATACATTTATGTTATAGAATGTTATACAAAACCACTTGAAAAGATTAATGGTCTGACTTGTTGGCAACTGAGCGGAGTAAGTGAGGTGTAAACTCGCCAAGGCTTATAGGATGCACGTGGTATGCACTGGCTTCCGGTTTAATGGCTCTCCATCCGTCTGCTGCGTCCCTCCTTGGGTATCGGTAGGGTGGCTAGAATGGGGAGGTGGGATGAGCGGGGCAGTTTTCGCTTGTCGGAGAGGGTCACTCGGCGCGCCGATGCCGCAAGGGGCGCTGATGGCAGCGGCACGGGTAGGGAGCGGCGCAATTCCCTGTGTTTGCTGCAGGTGCGCTAGTATTTTCTTGTACTTGTACTGCAAAATTCTTGTACTGCCAAGTCGTGCTTGTCTCCAAAAATACATCAAGGTATGTGACTGTATATGGTGTGCAATACAGATTGTTCCTAATGTTATTTTGTTCACAGGGATTCACTGCTGCTTATGGGTTTAATACTAAACTCCTCAGCTGTCTGATTGCCCAAGTTAAAGACCTGGACGAAATTAAGAGGCATAGAGGCATAGTAGTCAACGAGATGAAGCTCTCTGCGCATCTGGACATGAAGTCGTCCACCTATATTGAAGGTTTCGTAGACCTTGGCAAGTTCACTGATGCCGCTGAAAGACAGAAAGAGGCTGACCAGGGGCAGGTCATAATGTTCAAGCCATTTGTGAGGAAATGAACCCCGATCATTGGTAATAATTTCTAGTAATGCCGAAGCACATTTGTCAAAACATCTTGTAATGTTCTGTTTCTCTTCAGGTGTATTTTCGTCCAGCGGGAACGTGAAAGCCAGGCTATTGACAAAAATTTTAATAGAGGCAACGATTCTATGCGAGCAAGTCGGCCTCTACTTGGATTACATTGCTGTGACGGTGCACCCTGGAACAGATCCATGTGGAACATCCTTGGAATACGCGCCACCCTAAATGACATTTAGTGCAGAGTCATTCATCCGTGCGACAAACACAGATTTTTGTACTTTATTTCGGATTTCCCTCACCTGATGAAATGTGTGAGAAACACAATGGTGAAGCACGGCTTCAACACCCACAACGGATGGGTAGGCTTGCTCTGATAATTCTGTGGAATTTGTATACGTGATACGTACTGCTCACCGCTGATGTTGATGCTTAACAGTTCCTGATGCAACGTGCAAATTTTACAGGCTCACTGGGAGCATGTGTCAGCCATGTGGAAGCTTGACAACAGTGCCATCATCTTGAAAGTGGCACCAAAGCTGACTCGATCGCATATCTTCCCAAATGAACTCGAGAAAACGTGAGTGGAATTGACATTTCATGTTTTCAGTCCGCAAGTTACTCGATGTATGGATTTCTACAAAGATCAAATCGAGGCTCGATACGCAAATGTTGGGCTAACAAGACTCATCATTGGTCTCATGGCGGAATTGATCGAGGTTATGACGTCCAGATTCCCAGCTGAAGCTTTACGGTAAAAGTGAATTATTTGCCCTGTCAATAATTTGGCCAGGCATCAATTTTCTACGCTTCATCCACTTTGTATCAGACTTCATAGCCAGAAGGAAGCTGTGCTAGACCAGGCACTCAAGTTCCTTGATTTGTGGGAAGCTCATGCAAAAGGGCTTGGCTTTCTAAGCAAAAGTACCGCGGTGGGATTGAGTGTGACCTTGTAAAGTACGAAGCACCTCCTGAAGTACCTGACTGAGGAAGTTCATTTCAAATACATTATGACTGCTCGCCTAAGCCAAGACTGCCTTGAGCGCTGTTTTGGAATTGTGCGGCAGGCAGGCGGTGGCAATTATCACCCCACCCCTGCACAGTTTGTTGTCATCTTGAGGTATATAAATATCACTTTTCACACGTAATGTTACCTGTCGTTTAAACATGTTACATATCTCCCTACATTTGACTGCTGTCGAGGGTACGTTATGCATTGTTTATAGATGTCTTAGCTTCTGTAGCCTGGTGAAGAGTCCCAAGGGCGGCACCGTGGCTGACGGAGTGGTGGAGTCTCTTTTGTCCGTAGAAGAAATGATGCATGAAACGGAAGATGGCGAAGAAGACAACGAAAGACTTTTATCTGATGCTGTAGAATTGTCGATAGATCATGCATCGTAAACTGCTGAGCGAAGTGACTCCCGCCTTGTACAATATGTCGCAGGTTACGTTGCGAGAAAGCGTATACTTAGCAATAATTGTGATGAGTGCAAGAACGCCTGCCTTGTCTCGAGAAAAAATGTGCCAGGAAATCTCCCAGCCCAGGCAAGCAAGCTGGGGGATCTCGCGGACTTTTGTATTCGTCGAATTTCCTTTATACCGTCATCCTGAACCTTGAGGACAAAATCACTCTTTTCTTGAGCTCAGCACGTCTTCACGCCAAGTCAGCCATAGAAATGCTGAAGGGGATTGGCGAGACACAACAAATTGGCTGCCCAAAGCATAATGCTCTCTTGACCAAAAGTGTGGCGCGATTTTGTTGCCTAACTCGTGTCCACTTTTTTTGAAAGACATGAACCAAAAAGAAGACGAAAAGAAAGGGCAGAGAGTTAAGCCACGCGTACTCTAGTGGCAGAGCATGAATCCCTTGGCATGCATGAAAAAAAAGTTGTGTTTTTGTTAAAAAAGCGTCTCCTCTATTTCTGCTGCTGGGGACAATTCTCGAGTCACAGACTTGGCGGCATACGTAAGTTTTAGCGCTCTTATAGAGTTACTCGTCTAAGTTAATGAGCAATTGTAGGCTGCTAAAACTTCTACGTTCGGGAACCGATAATTGAATGCCAAGTGAGAAATTAAGCTGCGACTCGCACAAGATTATGGGTTCACGGCGGAACAGCAAAACGAGGCTCTTGTACCGACGTTTCTGCTCGTGGATGAAGGAACTTAACATGCTCTAAGTAATATGAAGCCTTCCAGTAATCGCAACGTCTCGTAACACCCCGCAGTTCTGCCGTGAGTAACCGAAATATTACGAAATCCACAAGAGTTGGTGTCAGGTCTCACTCATATGCCTTCTCGAGAATTGTTTTCAGAGGCGAGAAAATAAAGAGATACTTAAGCCACGCAAGACATTACGTGGCTCAAGCTCCATGTATTGTCTTACATTGGCTCAATAAAAAAGGTTTTCAACCAAAATAGGCGACCGCCATATAGCGTGAGAGCAGGCCCGTAGCAAGAAATTTTTTCGGGGGAGGGGGGAGGACACTTGCTAAAAACTAGGGGTTATGAGCCCTTTCCCCTTCCCCCCCGGCTACGGGCCTGCGTCTAACTGCGCGAGAGAGATTTTGCGGAGAGTAGCGCGCGCTCATTCGTATGTCGCCTGCGCAAGAGTACCCGCGCCTCTGCGTGCAGCGCTCCAAGCGTCATCGGCGCGCTTTGGGGACCGGTTTCAGTGGCCGCTTTTCACACTTCCTCATTCTAGCCACCCTAGTATCGGTGTGCTCTTTTTCTTCATAGCAACCCAACGTGTGTGCTGTGAATTTCTAGAGCACGTTAGCATAGCCGCACCTACGACTGACCACTAAAAGAATTGATTGATTTATATGTGGGGTTTAACGTCCCAAAACCACCACATGATTATGAGAGACGTCGTAGTGGAGGGCTACGGAAATTTCGACCACCTGGGGTTCTTTAACGTGCACCTAAATCTGAGCACACGGGCCTACAACATTTCCGCCTCCATCGGAAATGCAGCCGCCCAGCCGGGATACGAACCCGCGACGTACGGGTGAGTAGCCGAGTACCTTAGCCACTAGACCACCGCGGTGGGGCTGACCACTAAAAGAAAGCATGTGCTGTCGTGAAATATTTTCCAGTGGCAAACAACAGACTGTACATGCTATCAAGATTCTGCGCTTCTTCGGAATAATAAGTGGCGAGCACTTGACTCTCATGTCTTTCAACTATTTTGCACTTGTATATTAATGCAGGGTGTCCACTAACGTGCTTATTTTTACGTGTTTCCATCTTTGGGAGTGCTCAGCTGCTTTTGCAATCGTAGTTGCACCACAGCTCGTATCAATTTTCATTGTGTAAAAGGGGTATTCTTTATTACTGAAACTACGCGTTCAACGGCAATGGCCTGGTAAACTGTTCAATCGTTCGTTCGTGATGACCTCGACTATAATACAGCACTGACAAAGCTAAGCTAAATATGTCGGCGGGAACTTTTTTAGCAAAGTTGAGCTTGTTTAGCGTTTACGAATTGCTTGGTGTCGGTAAACAAGCTGGCCAAGACGACACTCACCTCATAGTCAGGTGCCGTGCTTGTTACGCGTAGTTACCTGTTCTGGTCGATGTGCACTGGATGAGGTATGAATAAACTGACTACTAAAAATGCTTGAAAAAACACTTGAAATTACCAGAAACATACTTCATAGCTGTTCTATAAGTATAATAGTATTTTCATGTCTATATAACTTACTGACGTCATTTTCTCCTAGTGGTGCGAGGTCGTCGCCGTCAGAACCACTGACTGATTGCATATACGTCGCTGCAATTTACGTCATTGACAAATGCTATGTCCACGGATTTCGCAGCGTCATCGCTGGCCTGATGTCATGCGGCTGCTGTGTCGCGCATTTTTTGGTATCAGGGTCAGAGCTGGCTGCACGTTACGTGGCGGCCGTGCGTTTTAGCGTAAACGCTATATGCTTGTAGTAGCTGCGTGTATAGTGATTGTGGTTGTGCTGATGAAAAACGACACATTCAAATGCCTTTCGTGCTTCCGTCTTTATGCTTCAGTTACTCTTTTGTCATGCCAAAATGACGGCACGTAGTCAACCTACCGTGAATTTTTGCTGGGAGCGCCTGTACTTAAATACTAAATGTGCCAGACAAACGAAACCATCCATGCAGGATTTGGGACAAATATCACCTACCTGACGTTTGGCATCTAAAGGCTACAACACTCACCATGGCAGTCCTTATTACCACAAATCCCACTTCCATATTTTATGTTCATTCTGAAGGAATCTAAACATCGTTTTCTTTTTGGTACTCGAACTCGAGCAACCGACAGCTGCACAATCAACCATGATTGCATGGGCAATTAGCTTGCAACCCAATCAAAAGCAAACACTTATCTACAGCTCCAAAAACGCCGCCAGCGAAACAGGGCGCCACATCTTGAACCGGAAGCCAATGCAGACGGCGCCTCCTATGAGCCTTTGCGCGTTTACGCCTCACTTATTCAGATGCTCTCTTCGGCATGAATGAATTGAAGAAAAGGTTCATGTGGCAACTAGGCACTTTGACTTTGATGTTGCCATCTATTTACGTTCAGGTGTAGCAAGTAGTTTGACACCCCGACTTGCACATTTTTAAATGCGAAGCATTTCTTAGCGAACTTCAGCGACTTCAAGCGTATCTATCTATCAAGACGCTTACGTTTGGGTGCTCTCGTGGTCACCACCTTAACTTGGCGTGAACCGAAATTAGCATGGGAGGGTAAGATGGTTTGACGAACAAGACTCACTGCTCAAGACCTCAATAGTGCCACAATCCCACCACGTATGTCGTCAAACACGTCCCACCAGTCAGTGGCACATACCCACGGGTGGGTATAGGCCGCTGGTATTCGGGTATATGCCACAGGTGATTGACACTTAGTAACTATTCAGGAACGACTAGAACACACATGGACAATTTTAACGTGCGAGCGTTAAGAAATAACCGAAATCGGTAGCGTCAACCCGACGAATGCAAAGAATAAATGTTAGGGTCCCTGCTGGAATCAAACCCGAAAATTCTGCGTGGCAATAAAGCATTTTACCACAGGGCTACGCCAGGTCTCAGAACTACTTTTCAAGTAGACATTAATCTTCGTGAAACGTTAATAGTGGTTGCAGTGCTGCCTACTCAACTTTATAAACATTACACATGTGCTTCTTTCATGCATCTGTCACGTCGGGTTAACGTCAACTGTGGTTAGTTGCCATGCGCTGAAGTTGATTTATGTGGCAGTGTTCAGGGCCAGCATCCTCGCGAGCATCAGTGCTTCGTATGAGCTTCTGGTGTCGCTAGTACGTATGTTCCAGTTGGCATCGTTGCGCAAGTGCAAATAACTGGTTATATAAACATCTACAACTCTTCAGCATATGTCTGTGTGTGCAACGTTTGTACACATATTTAGCGTCATTTCATGACGTGTCACACAAGAAAAAACTGCAACATGGTCACCTTCCCTCCGCATGCTTCGTCTAACGTCGATTCCCAGGTACACGAGATCTGCCGATTTTTTTTTTTACGTTTACGCTCCTGATTCTTAAAAACTACTTGGTCATTGACCTCCATGCTTGACACAATTAATAGCAACTATCCTGGCGTGTGACACTATTTTATATCTTGTAGAGCTGAAAAAATTGTCAGAATGGGTGCAGACTTGCTGTTTTGCTTTCACTAAAATTCCTATCGTAACAGAAAGGTGCATGCCAGTGAAGCGGATAAAAAGCGCTATTTCTTTTCTTGCAACCAGCTGCAGATCAGAACAATCCGTGCAGTATAAAGAAAGAAGGGTATTTGAAAAACTATTCTTTGTTAGATATAATATTATTGAGCACAGGAAGTAATGGCAAGGAAAGTGTAGATGTTCTCTGTAGTAATTATCGGTCGCAGCAAGTTGCCTTTTTTTCCACTTCACACTTGTATGATAATTGCAACAAATAGCACTCCTTGGATGTTATTTGGCATTAGCGTCTATTCTCAAGAATTTGAGCAGTATTGTATTGATGGTTTTTTTTTAATCAACCTAGGTTATACCCACTATGGCAACGTTAAACCGCTTATGAAGACAGAGAAAAGTTTTCTTGCAATGATACTGAAAGAGATCGAATATTTCACTAAAATGATTGCCCATAATTTTTTGGACCAAGAAACTGATTGATTTCCATATAGTGTCACTGTGAATACGCAAGCATGCCACCGTATTTTCCACCTGTTTAGTTGCGCATGCGTGCGCGCTAATTTATGAACCTGCAAGATAAAGAAAATCTAACGTGCGTCTGTTATTTGAACCACCGCGTTCATGTCTGCTCGAGATGCTGCGTCTGCTGTCCGTAGAGTCTCAACAGTACAACTGTGCTAAGAGTGGCGAAAACAGAAGCTCGCTTGCTTATGGGTTACCGTACTGGCTGAGGCCAGTACAGTAACGACAGCAGCCGGAGGGAGGCCACAGTGGCGAAAGTCTTGTGGCTTCGTGCGGTGCAGAAAACAAGTCAACAAGGCAATTCATGCATGCAACTTCATCTTAAGACAGCGAAAAGACGGAAGAAGCTGGCCAACACGAGCGCTGTCTGTCATGTGTTCAGTCTTTGCGCCATTTTAAAATGAACCCAATCCAACTACCCAACTCTCGCTTTTGCTGCAGTTTATGCAACCACAAGCCACTCTTCTTTCAGTTCAAAAAAAAATCTAAGACAATGGGTGATCCTGCACGCGAACGCATGCGATATCATTTTTAAAATGCAGTCAGAAATTTGCGGTAGTTTTCAGGAGCCAATCGAGATGCGGGGACATGCGTAGAAGAACAAAAAAAGGTAAGTCGTCTGGCTCTCTAAAGTCTGTTTGTGCAGCTCACATTCTTCCGCATTGAAGACGCAGGCCTTGGTCTATAATGCAACGTGAAAGCAGCCAAAAATCATTCAAAAAATTCAAGGACTGCGGTAGCCGTGAAATCAATAGATATTCGCCTTAACACGTTGACCACGCAAGTGCGCGCATGATGCAGCGGCGTTTTGCTCACCTTCTGACGACCAGTAGGCGAAGTGTCGCCCATCAAATATCGACGCTCAAAGATCCGGATAGTGCTAAATGTGATCGCCACGTATTTATCCACGTAGATCTCACAATGTCACGTACAACAGCGCTGTAGCTTGGACGTTGAACGCACGCCTTGCAGCCCAAAAGGTAAATAGGAAGTCTCCTTGACACCTGCTACAGGAAGCAGGTGGCGCTTTACACAGTTAAGAACCAAAACCGAAATCGCAATTTTATAAGCATCTTTTATTGGCCTGTCATTCGCGCGCCAGCCATAAATGCACGAAACAAACTTTTTTGCATGAAAAATAAATTATTACTGCGTACACGACCAGTGACCACAAAACAATGATCGCTTTATTCTCGAGCGCATACATTTTATAGCCAGATGTGACGTCATACATACAACGATATCTGCGCGTCAGCGTGCGGTGGACGTTATCACATTCCTTCCCTCTGACAATTTGCAAGTTTATTTTGCAAAGTCTTTGTGCTAGAAACGATCCGGTGGTTTGCGGGTTCGTGTGCTGCACCGTGACGGTTGGCTTTCCGCTGACGGCGAAGCTGACCGTGCCTCCGTTTGTGACGTCGGAGCTGCTAGCTTTGTCGGGCAGTTCACGTTGACAGGTGGGATAGGCTATTGAACGGAGGCGTCGGATTAGTAGCCGCCTGTTTATCTGGAACGAACGTTCTGGCTGAGTTTCCTGCGGCCGGTGATTTCTCTGTGACGTCGCTGTGCGGCGTTAAAGGGTGTCCGAGTCCGGACTTGGGATTCAGGCTTGGGGTCGGGTTCGCATGGCGTGGTCGCATGTGGTCGGCATGCGTAAACCAAAGTTGTTCGCGCACTTTCACCACGTATGGCACAGCACTCACAACCTGATGCACGACACCTTCCTCCAATGAGGCACACTTACCGCACACAGTCAGGGGGGTGAAACTTCGCGGTTTTTCTGTCCCGTGACCGCAGCGATCCTAACGTTTGGGGGCTGTACTACCTAAATGAACGTTCTTGTTCTATTTTATAGTTATTACTAGGTTACTCATTAACTCCGGAGTTTTTACTACACAAGTGAACCTAAAGGTTGCAGTTCGAGATTGCGAAAATAAGAGCGCCACCCAAAGTGGAAAACGGGAACTGCGCAGTCGTCCTATCTCTCACGGCGAAAAAGGGGCGTTTCTTTTCGCGCGCCCATGTATGCTACAACCTGCGGTGTCCCAAAGGCCGCTTTTACCGCTGTAAAGTTGGTTTTAGCGAAACCCATGCAAGATTCAGCCAAACAGACGCATCCATGGATTCTCGCCGTCATCACAAATCGTGCTGCGCTGAGTGGTGTCGGAATTCTTCACGACACACCGGCATAAAATTCTTTCGGATCCCGGCGGACAAAAGGTACGATCTGCATGCTGCTCGTTTTGTCTTTCTACGCTTGCACGGCATATCAGGATGCAGTTGCTGCAGTAGCTGTGTAATTTAATTGAGCTACACGTACATAATTTATTCATTACATTCTGATTGTCTGCTTTTCGGCTTCAATTATACATGACATGCACGGCAGAGCATCTGGAAATTATTCCAACGAATACATTTGCTACGCACGATTGTTTATACTTGCGTTTTCAATTTAATGCGTTTCAATCGTGCATTGCATTTCGATGTTGCACTTTGGCTCAAGGCAATGCAAGGCATGTCACAAATGTATTTGTAGCAGCATATACAGTAACTAATAGAACAGTGTAAGCTTATCCGCACTCTTTTTATTACCTTTTGATTGCCTGCGTTCAGTCTGTTCTCGTTGCATGCGTTATTATTATTCTTGAATATTATCAGCCTATTTATGTCCATAGCTGGAGGAAGGCGATTCCCATAATCTTTTGGCTATAAGGGAGGGTCCATATACGTTCATAGCATGTGTTGTTAGTACTATGTTAATTAAGTACTGAGTACATAAATTATTACACTTGCGAGTTTAGACGGATGTTATTACATTATTGCGTTTCAATTGTGTGTTTTCATTTTGGCCTCACGTAAATCCACGGCATATTGCAGAGGAATTTAACAATAAATTTATAAAGTAATAATTTATATTGTATACTTCAATTTCATGTTTTCAGTTTCAGCCTTAAGTACAATTACGATATATTTACAAGAATGCAATTGCAGCTAAAAGCCCATAAATAAGTGGACAATGTAAACTTACGTGTTCTACTAATTTATTACCGGTTTTAATAAGATTTTTATGAAAGATTTGCAGCAGGGCGCGAGAAATACCCGAGGAATACGCAGTGCGCGAGGGTATATATGTACGAATAGTTGTTTAGAGATTTTGGTGTGGGATGATTGCTATTGTCTGCAAAAATATATTTTTAATTGGGAGGAAAGCTGGGGTTGTTGCCACCAAACATTACTATCGCGCAAGTAGAAGCATGTATCCGCGTCTCTTAATAATAAAGACAGATTTTATTTTAAAGTTTGCTTTCAGGATTGCTATCACAAGTCGTCTTGGTTACAAAAATTCAATTAAGAAAGAAAGATGAGAAATGTATCAAATAACGCTTACTTCGAATAAAGATGCCAGTTTTCACTCAAAGCTATCCATCTACGCGTGAAAGCAGAAATAAATTCATTCTAACCCAAATACTACACACGCACACATTGATTTTCCAGATCTCGCGCTTGGCTTCAGTATGCGAGACGGCAGGACCTGGCTCATTTACCACCTCGTCAGATCTACAGCAGCTACCGCCTGTGCTCTGCCCATTTCACCAGCAGAGGCTACGCAGACCCTGGACAGACAAGGCGGCTAAGATGTGCTGTGCCAACAGTTTCCATCTTTGGCGATGAGCAGACACACGTCGAAAGTCCAGGTGGGAATACTGTAAAGTGATCATACAACAGCACAAACTTTCATGCCTCTACATCTATTTACAGAAATGTCTTAATACTCAATATGTGTACCTGTCCGAGTTATCATGACTCAGTATTTTTAAGATTCTCGCGCAGATTACACCAACAATACCAACGCATGGTGTACACAGCATCCATGGATTCGCCGGCATGATTTTGCTGGTAGATATAACTAGCTAAGTAAAAAATTTGCCGGCTTCACAATCGTTAAATTTAGAGCAAACGTCTCACTCAGAACGCTCTACATGTAACCTCCTCGATTCTGATTCTGTTGTCCCTGCTATTTTACCCGTGGCGTAGCGTTTTACAGGAAAAGGCGAAAATGACCTCATAACTTGAGAGAGTACTCCATGTGGCGCGTTATCAGCTATTTCACACATGGCGAGTGAGTAGCGGCCAACTTGGTGTCGCTGTTTAAACATTTGCGCGATAGCTCTGACAGTGGGAGCAACAGAACTGGCCTTTTAGAAATATATATATATTCTACGACACCCTAGTTCAAAGTCGCTTTTAAAATTAAGAATCCAAAAGGTACTTTATTTTTATTAGCTTTATTATTACAAAATTACTCTTATTTTCAATGGGCCAAATAAGTGTAATGGGCAAGAATTCGGTTACGCGCTAGGTCACCACGGGCACCACGATGTTAACCTGTTCTAGGCACATCGCATTAAGATTTTTAAAATATTGGTTTAGGATAGTTGGGACACCCATATATTTAGTGAGTGACACGTAGCGTTCTCTTTTTGTGTGTTTACACTTTTTTTATCACTCGTATTGAGACATAATACGCGAGGAGACCAATTATTAGTGAGAAAACGCCCTGAGTGATTGTAATTGCAAATATTTATTGTGACGCTTAATACTAGCTGTATGTATGTCACGCTGAAATCTGTGCTCCGCCAATTTCTCTTCACAGGCTCTCCTCGGCCCGCGAATACCACTGCAATGCCCACTCACAGCGCCGATGAAGAAGTTCAACAGACTGAGCCCTCATGTACGCAAATTGTATTGCTCTCTAAGCTCTTTAAAACTATTCCAGATAAATTAATGCCCTGCAGCTATCGTTTTAATGTCACGTACCATTTAACAGATCCTAAAGTGCACTAGGGTGTCAGCTGGGCGAGCTAGTTCATTGCTAGGGGACGAGAGCCAGAGTGATGTATACCGAAAGGCAGGACGAGACGAGCGCTTGTCCGATCCCTTTCTTGCTTGTTTGTTGCCTCCTAAGAGGGATTAGTGCCCCGCCGCGGTGGTCTAATAGTTATGGCGCACTACTGCTGACCCGCAGGTCGCGGGATCGAATCCCGGCCGCAGCGGCTGCATTTTCGATGGAGGCGAAAATGTTTAAGGCCCGTGTGCTTAGATTTAGGTGCACGTTAAAGAACCCCAGGTGGTCGAAATTTCCGGAGCCCTCCACTACGGCGTCCCTCATAATCATATCGTGGTTTTGGAACGTTAAACCCCAGATATTATTATTATTATTATAAGAGGGATTAGTGTTTTTTAAAGAAGACTATGAATTCGTTGTTTTTTCCTACACATACCATTTTAAACGTATAACCAATAATGTTTGTTAACAAGGAGTATGCTAATGATTAGGAAAAATTAGTTGACGCTTCATGTTACCCACGATGCTTATACATGCCATTAGTAGGCTCAATGCCCAGCAGTGTGCTTATCAGAGGCCTGTTCCCAATGCCCCAAGTTATGGGGCATTGGTTGGGCAAAAACCATAAGGTATGGGTACCTTATGGTTTTTGTATCATTTCCTCTTGCATCCTAAGTGTGCGGTGTGCCGTATTATCTTGTCCCACTCATGGGATGATTTTATATCGGGATACGTGCTGTGAACTTGTGTATAGTGATTACTGTTTTTCTTTTGTCTTTGTATATACGTATGTGCGGCAATGTGCACTGGATTGATACTAGGTTATTAGCATGCTGGCATGTGCGGTCCACTTTTGTATGCGACCAAAAACGTAAAACATTCAAGTTGTATTTGTACTGCATAAACCGTACGTTTAGGCAATAAAACATTCAAACAAACTCTGCTCTTTATTCTTGTCTAATTTATGTGTACACGTAAACAAAAACAACGTCTTACTTAGAATAAGTAGTGCACAATTAGGTGGATGGGCAGACCATCAATCAGAACGCAATGATGGCCGTTTTCATCATGTGGCGGGTTGCGCAACAGGAAGAAGGTCGCGTGCTCGCCATCTGAATACCTTCCACTCGCTCAATTTGGCTTGCTGGTGCATCCCAATTGAATTTGGCACTAAATCCCCCCCCCCACTCGCCACTCGGATCCTCAGTCCTCATCAAGATGGCGTCCCCCAGTGCATGTCTGCAATACGCCGCCATGTTTTCGTACCACCCCCAAACACCAGGCGTTCGTCCGGCGCTGCGAGCGAATATCGCGTTCCATGGAGGGTATAGGAAGTTTCACTCCCCTGACACAGTTTTCACGAACACTTTATCACCAACGTCAAACAAACGCTCACGCCAGCGACGCACATCCCGCTGTTCTTCCAATTTCTGCTGCTTCGTGTGCATCGATCTCGAAAAGTCTGGTTTCAACAATGCAAGTTTTCTTCGTGGTTGTCGCTTAAGAAAAAGCTCGGCGGGTGTCTTTCCCGTCACACTATTCGGTGTGTTGTGGTATGTCATCAAGAAACTATCAATATTTTTCTGGAACAAATGACGCGTACCTAACGATTTGCTTTCCAACAGTTACTTCGTCAGAGCACGTTTCACGGTCTGTACGGTTCGTTCAGCCACACCATTCGAAGCTGCATGGTAGGGGGGAGTGCGAATATGTTTCACGCCGTTAGTGGTCATGAAATCCGCGAACTCGACCGAGATAAATTGTGGCCCATTGTCGTTTACTAGTGCTTCCGGGAATCCGTAAGCAGCAAAAGCACTTCGAAGCTTTTCAAGTGTCTTTGCTGTTGAAGTAGAGAGCATTGGCCACACTTCGACCCACTTGGAATAGGCATCCACAAGGACAAGAAACACATTTGCACTTGTCTGCGCAAAGTCTATATGGACGCGTGACCAACATCTGGCTGGATAACTCCAGGGTTGAAGTGGTGCTAACGGAGCTGCAGGTCGCACTGCTTGGTAGGTCAATTCCTGGCCACCACACAAAACTGCAGGCTAGCATTTTCATGCGGCTTGCCCCAGAATGTTCAGTGTGTAGAATGTCAAGCACGCGATGTCTCACTACTTCAGGAATAACAACCAGAACTCCTTATGTTAAGCGCCCCTGCTCCAGTGACAGTTCGTCTCTGCGTACGTGATACGCCTTTAAGTCTTCCGGGCATTCGCCAGGCCAACCACTCAGAGTGAAATCAGCTATACGACTTAAAGCCAGACATCGCCTGGATGCTTTGGCGATTTCATCGGCTGTCAGTAGAAGACACTCAAATACTGACAGGCACTCCACTGATTCTACTCCTGCTGGCACTGCTTGAGGCAATCTGGACAAGGTGTCAGCCACGTCCATGTTCTTGCTCTTACGGTACTTAAGGCGGTACCTGTATGCTGCAAAAGTCAATGCCCAACGTTGCATGCGCGCTGCGGCCAACGCTGGTATAGGTTTTCCTTCACCTGAAATGCCAAGTAGTGGCTGGTGATCTGTGTGAACTGTGGAGTCTCTACCATAAAGATAGCGGTGAAACTTTTTAAGACCAAATATCAGCGCCATCGCTTCGCGTTCACACTGTGCGTACTTCTTTTCCGCTGCTGTGGGGGTTCGCGAAGCGAACACGAAAGGCTTTCCTCTTCGTTAGTTTCATGGAATATTACCGCGCCTAGGCCGTAGGAAGACGCGTCGCGAAGCACTCCTATCGGTTTGTCAACGTCATAGAAGGTGAGGACTTTACTGCTAACGAGCAGTTTTTTCGTATCCGCGAAAGTGCCGCTACATTCCTTCGTCCACGACCATTTCGTATCTTTCTTTAGCAGCCGATACAATGTCTAAGCAACGGTCGCACAGTTTCTCAAGAACTTTGAGTAAAAATTCAGCATGCCCAAATACACTTTTAGTTCGGTGACGTTAGTGGGCTCAGGCGCGTCAACATTCACACCAATTTTCGCTTCCGTGGGATAAATTCCTTCTGCTGTAACGGTGTGGCCCAAATACGTCACTGATTGTTGAAAAAAAACGGCATTTGTTGGTGTTCAACGTGATGTTGTAGTCCCGTAGCCTTTCAAGGACCTGCTCTAGCGTATTTTGGCATGAAACCATATCAGATCCAGTCAGGATAACATCATCGATATAGCACCCTACGTTTGAAATACCCTTTAGCACTTCGTCCATCAAGGACTGGAAGATTGCGGGTGCACTATAGCTACACCATATGGAAGGCACTGAAATTGGAACAACCCCAAACTGTTTTTGACCGTCAAAAATGATCGTGACTCGGGGCTCAGTGGTACCTGCTGATATGCCACCGATAGGTCGAGAATGCAGAACACCTTACCCCCTGTAATTGCTGAATATAGGTCTTCTGGCCTGGCCAGCGGGTAATGGTCTGTTTTTAGGACCGGTATAATTGTAACTTTGTAGTCACCGGAAAGCCTAAGGCTGTCATCTTTTTTCTAGATTACGACAAGTGGTGTCACCCAGTCGCTATGCGATACCTGCTGTAACCTGCCTGTTTTTACCATCTCATGGAGCTGTTCTTTCACTTTTTCTTTAAGTACAAATGGAACAGTCCTGGCTCGACAGAATACTGGCGTAGCATCTGCATTCAAAGATATTTTTACCTCAAAACTGTTTACGATGCCCATTGTATGTGAAAAAACTGCAGGGTGTTTATTTATCAATGACATTGCTCTGTCCTCCACGGTTACTTGACTTATTGCGCTCCAGTCAAGCTTGAGACGCTGAAGCCAATTCCGGCCAAGCAATGCTGGCAGTCTCCTTCCGTTATCCTTAACTACTACTACTACTGGAAGAATCATGCTCTGCCCTTTGTACACAACTGAAACCTCACACTGTCCCTTAGGTGGCATTTGTTCGCCGGTGTACGTGCGAAGTGTCACTTTGGTGGGTTGACATGTAACATGAGCGAAATGTGAATCAGACATAATCTGGCACTACAGTAACAGCTGCTCCTATGTCAATCCGCATGTTCAGGGGTTTGCCTTCCAACTTAATGTTGACATCGTACGAAGAGCGTGTCACATTTACGAAATGGTATATTTTGTGCTCAGAGTCCTCGGCTGAACATTCTAAGGCTTTTGTTCTCTTTGTCTGCGCAGCTGTGCACATTTTTTCTCAAGTGTCCTACTTTCAAGCAGTTGCAGCACACAGAGTTTTTATACCTGCATACGCTTGAATAATGCCCTCTGCCGCATCTTTCAAATCGCTCTTTCTTGGCAACGTGCCTCTTTTGAGCCTTCTTCATCCCTTTCTTCGGCTGACTCCTAACGGCATTTAATGACTCCTCTTTGTTCTTTTCTTTCATTAGCGCTGCCTCCCTTGCCGCCATTCCTCGGACCAAGGCAATCTTGCAGGCGCTGTCAAAGGTTAGGCTTTCTTCCGCGAACAAGGCTCGCTGCGTCTCTTCATGGCGCACACCTGCTACTAGCCTATCACGAAGTGCATCCTGTAAGAAGTCACCGTAGTTACATTTCCTGGCCAAGTGCTTCAGCTCGACTATAAAATTTTCTACGCTTTCCCCTTCGTGCCGAGTCTGCTTGTTGAACCTGCAGCGCTCAGCGATTACCGAGTTCCATGGGCTGCAATGTTCCGTTAACAACCGCTTTGCTTCCTCATAAGTTTTCTCACGGGGGGGAGCCGGCACTACAAGGTTCTTCAAGACCTCACAAGCTTCTGCTCCTATTACAGTCAGGAAAACCGCTAGCTTCTTTTCCTCTTCTATGTCGTTCGCATGCACAAACAGTTCAAGTCGCTCTAGGTAAGACTCGAAATTCTGTGACTTAGGAACAAACTCAGCGATCTTCCCTAAGCGCGACATTTCTGTCTGCGAGTAGAAAACGTTGAGTCAACCTCTGTGCGGTCTTGCCCCGCCGTGGTGGTCTAGT